CTTACATTTGTATAGGTGAATATTGTAAAAAGACATTAAAACATTCCTAGTAAATTTTGCATGTACTATTGTTAGACATATAAGTGTTCATTAGATGATATAGAAATTTCTTTCCAATTAGTTTGTCATAATACCTCTAAACTAATATATGTATATATGGAATAATACTCATCGAGTAGATACGTTGTATTTCACTTATCCGTCTCTTGATTCTTACATAACTAATATATTAGTGGCCATTCATCAAAATATTTTGTTAGTTCCTTCTTTTCTATATATTATACAACGTAGCATACAATATTCAGTCCGAAGAAGCACACTGAATATAGATCTCCGCGCGAGTGATTTTTTTTCTAGTGAGTTTGTTCAGCTTCAACATTCACTGAGTTGTCTCAACGAAGTTCGTATTGCTTTGTTCAAGGAGCATCGTAGCGGGTCTAAAAAAATTTAACTACTTGTGTTTCATCAGCAACAAATGATCTCTTTATGACATTAGGAATGGGATGTACACGACAAAAAATGTGGTGAGAGTTTGGATACACTTGAGTTACAGCAGCAGCTATTGTGGGTGAGTCATCGGTAACAATATCAACCAACTCTCGGTTGTTAGTTGAACGCCTGAAGAACGACAGCAAAGCAGATTTTCGCAACTTATAAAGGCAATAAAAACAGGTATTGCATTAAATTCATATCCAACACAACTACTTGATACAAATATAAATTTTCACCATTGGTTTGGTAGGTCCCGTCAAAATCAACAACATCGAGAAAACGATTTGTCAAATTCATTTGATCAGCAGTTGCAAAGAAAAAGTACCGAAGATAATCTTCTTCATCAATTTCGTACTCACAGAACTCACCAAGTGACATGATATGAGCTTTCACCTAACATTTACAATATAAATAGGCACATTGCTCATCAGAAAGGTTGGCCTGTAAAAACACTGTGACACATGTTAAAAACATCTTGGGGATTCCGGCCCTTATCATAAGATTGGTAAACGAAGTGCACAATATTAAATGCCAAGGTCCCCAAAATAAGAAGAGGTCGCACTGTTTCAAATTCCACATCCGTTAACCTACGCATCCACGGATTGTTATCGTACCCCAGGGAATTGCACTCATGATTGTACTGCACATTCCCACGAACAAAAGTCCAGTAACCTTCAATAAACGTACAATTGATGAGGGCCGGACATTGAGTGCTCATAGCAATCATTCATGAGCAATATAGTAACACTATTCAAATTACCTTCTTCGTCTAGTCGGCTGTGAGGATCCGCTAGGTGTTTTACGGCCATTTCTCCACAGTCCAAATTTAATATACGGCTTCCGATCCTTATGGAAATAAAAATCGCTCGCTGCAATATGGCAGTACGTCGTCCTTTTATATGTTCCGATGGCTCTCTTTAACGCTTCGAGTGATTGGAACGCTAGCAGACACAATGTACTCAAGAACACGTTATCCGTGTCTGTGACAACGTGAGAGACAGCATGGCTTGTACAAAAATCACCGTGCGTTAAGTGATATTCTAACTCTGAAACGTATAGAAGAACATACAGGATTTTATATAACTTGTTGATGAATAAAGTTAAAATTAGGAACGGTATTTAGTATTTCAGAAGAATAGTATTCAATCAGAAAATAAAACTGTAGTTTCAGACGAATATCTATAGACAGTTATGCCCTGCATTAAACAAATAACTTGAAACAAGTAGTGTGCATTATATGAGATGAAAATAATATCACATTAGGATGATAAGCATTTGAGAGCTTGATAGTTCAGAATAAACTGTTTTTAACATATTTATAAATCGTACAGATAAAGCGAGTTATTATACGCTGAATATAAATATATTTATTGTTATGAGCTAATAGATGGGTGAAATTTTAGTAGTACTAGTTTAGTTAAATTCAGATATTTAATGATATTTCCTTAAATTAAAGACACGAAACGATTGTTGTATAGCTGTTATTTTATTGCGGAATACTTCTAACATGTCTGTACGTCAATCCATAGAACGAGAGCGTCACTTCTTTGTTCCAAATTTACCCCATCAATGTTAGGCACGTAGTAATCAATGTCAGATTTATTTTTAAAAGGATAAACGGTTGAAGTGCGAAGACCAAAAGACTGAACATTTCATTTGACTCAACAAGATTTGAGTAAAAACTCTTGGAAACTCATTATAACCATCAAGTACTAAATCTTATTTCAGTGTTTTAGCATAATTGATACTGTAGATTCAGTTACTTATCAAGTTGTATTATTATTTCTCAATAATAAAATATAAAAAAGGCTTGGTGTATCAACGAAAATCATACTTTTGACAAAAAATGTAAAATACGACACCGAAACCTGGTAAGTGGAAGGGTCATCCAGGCTAATATATGTATATATATATATATAAACTATTTTTAGTGACAAGCGCAAGACAAAATACATAATCCTGCATAGAACGATTGAAATGTGCGTCTCGTCTATCTCACCATCTGTCTATCAGTTCAATAACTTAGTGAACCTAATATGAATGATAGTGCTAAACTTTAGATTCCATTGTTTAACCTCCACTAATATAATCAACACAGTGAGATAAGACTTGTATGCACCAAACTCTTAACTATACTCAAACGACTAGCAAAATCAAATAAAACTTACTATCCTATATAGATCAGGAAGGAACAGAATTTTTATTCATTAATAATCTTATACAGATGGCATACTCCTACATCAGGAATAATTCATATTCAAGGATGACACTGAAATAAAACTCGTTAAACATACGAACTTATGTTAAGTTGTTACTCTAGTACTGATTAAACTAAAACATCGGACAGATACGATTTAGCTCTGAACAGAACAAGTCATGATGGAAGTCAACTGTTTTACTGTCTGGTCTTATCAAGTAACGTTTGTTTCAGCGTAACTGATAACCTTGATATATCAGCTTGTTTAAATAACACCGATTTTTTTGTGCCGAATAGGGTAATACACCAAAAAAATAGGTTTTTACAAAATCACTTAATGTAACTGATTTTTCTCCGCTTATCAAATAAATTATAATAGAGTAAACTCGCCAGATTAACTCGACTGCATACCGGATTAGTGAAGTAATCTTGAATCAACAGTAATTGTAAAAAGTTTATATCCCTTTAAACATAATAAGTTTGTACTAACCAACTATATTTGATTGACTATCAAAACAATTAATTGAAAATTTCAAAGTGATAAAAACTGAAGAACGAAAAATTTACTGATGTCTAGTATCCAGAACATTATGCTACTAATGTTCCATGAACAATAATTTCATCATAGATACTTAGTATATTTGGTAATAAAATATGAGCTATTTCTAGCTAATAAACACAATTATTAAAAGAGTTCAATTATCAAAAAATTAACATTAAACGCCTCTTCGGAACCATAGACATTAAACTAAAAAGTGAACTATATCTAACTCAACCTAACCGTATTAAATTTCTTATAATTCTTTACAATATCTTCAAATAATTATTTACAACTAACTAGAATGAAACATTTAAATTATTTATCTACTCTGAAGAAGTGGTTTACATCAAGTCACGAAATGTCAGAAATATAATTTATCTACTCAGTGGTATGTAACAGAAAATATAAGTATTATGAAACACTTATACTAGCATTCGTCAATGTTTGAACGAATAGTTTGATAGAAATTCAATGCCTAGTATGGAGATATTTGAAATTTAAATCAGTCAGTCAGATACAACGTAGGACCAAGCACATATATGCATTGGTTCAAGTTGCCATACATCATTAACATAACAAGATGAAGACCGAATTCATAGAAATAGTTAATTGGATGATGGTAAATTATTGAAATTTAAATAAAATCAAACAGTTCTTCAATACTTAACTATTTTCAATAATTATTCATCTAGATTTGAATTATTGTAATGAGAAAATGAAATTTATCACAATTATTCATCTAAGATGAATTCATAATTAAAATGTGATAAGACATTATACTATGAAAACTTATTTAGTTAAATAATTTTTTTCACCTTATGATTCATTCAAATACTACTCTTTGCAAACATTTCCGCCCCCCCCCTCCCACATCATATCCATCTAAACTGACTGTAACTTTAAAATATTAAAAGAAAATATAGAAGTTATTTATGAACAAGAAAAAATATTTTTCTTTATTTGGAACTGAAAAGATCAGCATGATATCAATAAATAAAAATATTCTACAATTCAATAAAGCAAATGACCAAAGACATTTAATTAGTCTTTTAGCAGACACATTGAATTACATGCCCATTTATTATTTTTTTCTTTGTATATATGGAAGAAATGAAGGTAGGAAATGAGATGATTTAGATGAAAAAGATGAAGAATATAAAAAAAAGAACACACAAAAAGAGAGAAAACAAAAATGTCAGCTTTTTAATGATAATATCAATGTTAGTTATAAAATTTTTAAGAGTGTTCCCTAACACATTTAATGTAAGACTATAAGATAAATCGAAAATGTCTCCAGACATTCTGTTTTCTTATTTGCTTCCCTTTATAACTAAAATATTTCCTGTAAATAATAAATAATAATAAGTAAATGGACATTAAGAACGATAGATTTCATGTAATGATGAAAGAAAATCTTATTCTACTCATAAGAGTATACACTGAATGTGTGATTACTTTAATAAGGAGTGAAGTTGAAATACATCACAACAGATATTAGAGAAGCATCATTCAAATAAATGAATTCCTCTCTGAAATATATTCACAAGAGAACGAAAGGAATTACGAAAACTCTAAAATGTACTATTGATAAACTGTTTTGACCTTCACATCGATGTCATCTGGTGTGTTATAGTGTCAAGTTAGAATTTAATGGTGATGGGTGAAAGAGGGGAAATGGGAAACCAAAGTAATGAGATCCATAAAAATAGGAGAAAATGCCGGTCAGAAACTTCTTTAATATGGTGAAAATGAAATTTAATAGAGGGATATTCAATTTCGTCGCCAACCAGTTGTTATATGAGGATTAGACCAGTCAGCAACCGGGATACTAGCACTCCCATATTGTTTAGCAGAGGTACGATTGAAAACAGGAAGTAGTTCATCAGCTTCAGCAGCATTACGTTTTAAATATACTATAGCATCAGTTCCGTAGCCTTCTACGCTGGATAGTATAAGATCACCATTGAAATACTTCGCATATAATCGACTAAGTGGAAGACCATAACCATAACCTGCCATTGGAGCACTGGTTCCCTGATCAGGCGGTCCAGGTTCCATTGACGATAAAGATGTTTCACCGCATCGTTTAGCCTGCCGGGCAGTTGTATAAGTGTAATTGAAAACTAAATCCATTTGAGATCGTGGGATACCACCACCCAAATCAGAAATCTGATTTCGAAAAGATTAAAAACAACAGCAACAATATCACGACTATCTATTATTACTATCATAATTCTTTACCAGCCACAAATATTTAGACAGTAAATAGGTTATTATCAAATACACCAACTCAATCAATTATCAACCAATGCAACTAACTGATACCAACCGTTGAGTACTGCTTGTATTCGAGGATGAGTCGTACATTTCAAAGCTACCACTAAAGTATGACTATAAATAGTGAGAAGACTCAAAGGAGAAGAAATTGGTTGGTAGTCATATGTAGTACATGGATTAGGCATAAGCGAAGATTCCTGAATAAATAACAGTAACAACATTGAAGTTAAAGACAGTTTTCACTGAATTCACATTATTCAACAAGATCAGTGAGGGTCAAATGGTACCATTCAATTGTAAGGTATTTTATTGGATATTCATAAGATTCGAATTTCTAGATCAAATTTATTCTCCACTTCTATTTACATATTCAGAATTCACAAATTTCCTTTCCATAATTTATACGCGAACAGGTTTAATGGCGGTATTTCAATGTCAGCTAATGCAATACTTTATAGCTTTGAGTCTCCGTTACAAAATGTTAAACTATATATATATATATATATATATATATATATATATATATATATATATATATATATATTTGTTCAAATTATATCTTACTACAAAATTAAATCGCCGTTGAAAAACTATTTAAACTCCTCGGTGTTTCGTTGATGAAAATCACTAGCTGTACAAGTCAGGAACTAATATTACAATCTCATCTTTTCAAAGCAATAAATTTCAACATCAAAATTATAAATGACCAATAGATCATGCTATTACACAAAATATGTAACTAATTCAAATCAATTGGGAATCCCTATTGAAATTATATACTTTTTTATTAGTTAAGTACGAAACTATCGCGTACATTACTTAAAATCACAGACTAAAAGACACATGATATCAGTGACATAAAAATAAGTTTGCTTGTAAAGCTTCGACACTGGATCTCTGGTAGAGTAGTGTATGCACACTGTTGAGGAGTCCCATAATAGGACAAAATGTAGGCTGTACAGTACGCCCTGATTTCCAATAGCTGTTGAATTTTTAGTCACTGTGTGATGCAACCTTCTTTACAACGTTAACTGTTCAGTTTTATACCAAGTGTAATCACTTCGAAACAGATATTTATACTCGAAAAGCCCAAATACAACACTTTAAGATGTCTCATCAGAACAGAAACATCTCGTCTGTCATAAAACTAAATTAGACACCATTTACATGAAAGAACCTCAATCTTTGGGAAAACACTAGGTAAGTATGAAGCCGCAGGAACTGCATTGCAACTTTATGTCAGTAGCGCTGTTAGGTCCCGATAAGAATAATGAATGGTAACTTTTGAGATTCATTTATGGACCAATACTATGCGTATACTTTTATCATATACTTGTTAAATAACTAAACTGTTCATATTCATGTCCCTCTTATTATGAGCTTTATTTCGACCTATGAACTATTATTATACCATTTACCATTCTTGAATTATGCCCTGTCTATTAATTACTACCTCCCTCATTCACAGCCACATTTGGCTAATTCTTGTACATATGTTGTTTCATATTTTATGGTACGATGTGGTCTGTTTGATTGGCATATAAACCCCGTATGTTTGAGATAAATGATTCATATTGCAGAGGCTGAGATTGGTGTTCTGGACATAACTGCCTGGGCTAGGCAGAAAGCAGGACCAATCAGAACTCTAGACTGCTCGTACGGGTTTTACGCACCACTGGTCCAATCGATAATTCACTGCTCTCTAATTGGAGGTATCGTTACGTTACACAATGAACAGGGCAGACAGGTCACAAGTTATAACAAGCGCCCCAACTGAATGCAAAAGAAAGTAAATTTTTCCAAGTTCCATTACAACACCAGATGGCTTTTTCCGAGATACACAAGAGATTATGAACAATTCATGCAAAACATCCGTCAGGGTTTATAAACAGACACTACGATATCATTAATACAATATAATTATGCTCACAATGTTTAGTCTTCCCCCACTAACATTGCTAATACAATTATTACAACTACTATGATATTCATTATATCAATCTCATCTCGTCATACTGTTGTGGTATAGCGACTTGGATTAACGGTCATTCAGTAATAATCAACATTTACTACATATACACATACATTAGTGAATACATTATATATACATAAAACAATATTGGGGTGTAAATCATTGTGAATTATTCTCACTTTGATCGCCACATTTTCCTGACCAGTTGCTATCAAGACTTTAATGGGAGGAAGATGGTCAGCCCTACTATGCTGCTCCACCACTGCTCGCAGGGCATTCTATGAAGAATGAAAATTAACACAAACATCGAATATTAATCCTACATATACTAATAGCAATACCTAAGTTGCATTAGCTCATAAAAGTAAGTTTAAAATAGGATACAAATTACTTTAAAATGAGATTTTGAGAAGCACACGAATAGCGATCTAATACTCTGATTAATATATGGACTGGACAATAACCAACTTGTTTAAATATCAAATCCCCACTCATTTTAGTTCCACGACTGCTCGTAATGAAAACAGTTCGATTCAAGCTCTACATTTATTGGTCATAAGTTAAATGATAGGCTAATTGGGTTGAACAGGGGGTTTATCAAAATTCAACTGAGAGGATCTGTAGTTTCTCATAAACAGTAGTTAGAGGGAAACTACCGGATAATGAGGAAATAGAACAAATGAGTCCAAGGACTTTGTTGTAACCTGATATCATTGAGCCGAAGACGTACATGCAATTGGACATTTCCATATTTACCCTTTGTAGCACAACCAATTTATCAAGTAACTAAAAACACAGGTTTTGTAATTCAGCTGCGGACTTATCTACCACTCATTATTCCTGAAATAGGGTGCTCTACCAACACGTATAATAAAATATTCAACAGTAGAAAAGAAAAACTGACGAATTATGGAACAGAGCTGCATTAAAGATCTTCATAAAATTACCGCTAAGCTTCCTAAGTCATTAGTTCAAATAAAAGACATACCCACCCATTTCAACAGAGAGTTGTGACTAGAGATTGGATTACATTGGTTGTGATGCACTTTGCAGTAGAGGGTAATTTTGTGAATTTGTGACTTGTTTCAGAGAATATAGAAGACAAACAAAATCACTAAGGTTTTTTATAACTTATGGACTTATATATTAAACGGGGAGCATTTGTCCACGGCATAATCTCACACTTATTCACACCAATCCAAATACTCACTAAACCATATGGTTTTCGACAAACATTACGATTTCATCCCCAAATTATTATTATTATTTATTTATTTTAACACACAGATATCGGTACAAGAAGGCACCAAATACATATGCGCCACACGAATCTCAATTGATTTCTGTGAGGGCTGTGATACTGCCCGGGTGCCCAAACCGAAGCAGGTGGTTTTCTTAGGGGACCACACCCCGAGTCTTCGACCTGAAGATCTGATCCACAAGGCAGTGGAGCATCGTAAGGAGATGCAGTCCCATGGTAGCCGGTGACCAACGATTGGTTCATACGCCATATGTTTCCGCAGGATACTGGAGCCCATGTGCACCATTGGTTTGGGATCCGGTTATAGCGCCGTACATTCGCTTTTCGTCCTCTCATTTTCGTAAACAACAGTAATGCCACGGGAAGGCAGTGAGTAGGACTTCCCTGGCAGGGGCTGTATACGCGTGGCCATGTGAGAGCATTTCGAGAGGGAGAGCGGACTCTCCCCGCTCTCGGCCATACCAGGGCATTTGGGGGCTTTAGAGCCCCCAAATTGGTTTGTATTTACTGACCACATGTGATTCAATTGATTCATTGTACTACCTAAACCTGTATTAACTTGTAAAAGACATGTGGGATCACGAAATGTCATTTTTTGCTTTTCACTAAATTGTTACTATATTAATACTATAATAAAACTACATTATATTCAGTCTGTTTAAAATTGTGAAGTTAAACTTGGGTAGCAATATTTTTATAGTTTATAGCACTTTTCGTTCGCCTATAAAGTAACGTGATCCTTATTTTGAGCAATTTATTATGAGGATATCGAAACAAACTAGTTGAAGTCATCTTTCCACAAATCATTCATCTCCAAGTAGATATGCAATTTCGGTCAAATTTACACAAGAAAAAATTAACAAGATAAAAACTTACTTTCAGCAGTTCAAATAAAATATGATACAAATGCGACGGTACATAGACGAATTCAATTTTTGCATTGTCACCTGAAAAAAAACAAAGTAATCGAAAACCCCTTATTTTAATGGCAAATATAATAAATGAAAAGATGAGGGTAATTGTGACCAGAAACTAATTGAAGAGTCCAACTCCATTGAATCCACCTGACATCAAAGCAGCATCTACAGATCTTTCTATAGATGTCACTCCACCAACGATCGAAGAAACCAGGATGACCGGTCATCAGACAAATCAAGAGTGGGAAGCAACAAGACCTGACAACATACCAACTGAGGCACTGAAGTCGAAAATAGAAGTAATCGCACACATGCTCCACGTTCTATTCAGGAAGATTTGTGAGGACGAACAAGTGGTGACAGACTGGAAAGGACACCTCATCAAGATACCAAAGAAAAGAGATCTGAGCGAATGTGAAAACTACGGAGGTATCACACAACTATCAGGATTAGGAAAAGTTTTCAACAGTTTGTTGGACCGGATGAAAGATTCAGTAGACATCCAGCTTCGAGATCAGCAGACTAGATTCCGTGAGGATCTGTCGTGTACAGAACAAGTCGCGACACTACAAATCATTGTTGATCAGTCGATTGAATGGAACTTGTCACCATACATCCACATCCATGATTATGAGAAAGCACTTGATAAGGAGGATAGGAGGATCCTACAGAAATTTCTTCGACACTATGGTGTACCTGAGGAAATCGTAAACCTCGTACGGAATCGGTACGACGTACTACAGTGCAAAGCTGCACACGGAGGACAGCTGACAGATGCATTCCATGTGAGGGACGGTGTCAGACAAGGATGAGAACACGATATCATGAATGTTAGATTCTCAATATCCTAATATTCATACTATTAAATATCTAGTCTAAACGAAGTGAAGTTTGAACCTACAGCCTAACTGTTGAAAATAATTAAGTAACCAGTGAACAACTACCTCGAAAAATGTATAGCTACAACAACCCTCTCGATTAATGTGAGTTCCCCTTTTGGTTTAACTTTTTCTAAACATACGCAAAGGAAAAACAAATATCCTTAAATACAATACAGAGAACACCAACCCAATCACGCTTGATGGAGAAACTCTGGAAGAGGTGGAAACGTTCACGTACTTGTGCAGCATCATCGATGAAAAAGGAGACTCTTATGCAAACGTAAAGGCGAGGATTTGCAAAGCAAGGACAGCATTCTCACAGTTGAACAACATACAGAACTAAAAACAACTGTCAACCAATACCAAAGTGAGAATCCTCAATACGAACGTCAAGACAGTTCTAATGTACGGAGCTGAAACTGGGAGAACTACCACAGACATCAACAAAAAAGTACAAGTATTTATAAACAATTGTCTATGTGGAATAATCAATGTCTGTCGACCAGATACCATTAGCAACATCATACTATGGAGAACAAACCAACTTCCAGATGAAGAGAAAATTAGGGAAAGACGCTGAAGGTGGATAGGAAATACATTACGGAAATCATCAAACTACATCAAGAGGCAAGCACTGACTTGGAATTCTGGACGGAAAAGGCAAAGTGGGAGGCCAGGGAACACACTGGGCTCAGAATTGTAAGCAGACACTAAAAGAATGAACAGCAACTGGAAAGGACTGCTCAGGACAGAGTTTGATAGAGAATGCTGGTGGGCGGCTTATGCTTCTCCACTAGGAGTAGCAGGCGTAAATAAGTAACTTTTCATCTCATCCCAATTTTTCTTCGACTCATCGGTGCTGAAAGGCATTAGAATAAACGAATACATGGAAATACATTTACCTTATTCCAAGTAACCCTTTGACTTCCAGTCACACAACCAGATATCCCAAGAAATGTCTAAGATCAAAGTCATATTTGTCAATGTTAAGACCATACAATTGTAACACCTGGAAATGATTCAACCAATCTACTTCCTAAATTAAGGTTTCCATATGACAGAAAACCGAACTAAATATTTTTGTTTTATCCTCCTAATGAATCCATTATTTTTGACTTCTGGGTTATATCATATTGTGACAAAGTATTCAGTGATTTCAGTCCCCAGAAAGTAGCTCACCGCAGAAACGAAGCCTCTGACCACCTTTTAGATCTTTTTCACCTACTTCTGTACACGTGTATATTACCAAGTGAATAAATGATCCCCCCATTGTTACTGTACAATGAAAATATATATAGGAGAGCTACCGATGTTAAGTCCTTTATTAACGATCCAGCCATCTATGTACAGTTTACAGCATCAACAGAAAGTGATGTGAAAAACGATTAGCCCAAAACTGGTAGGAATTCAGACTTTCTCTGGATTTTTTGGAATTTCTTCCTGGTTGATTTGACCTTGGACTGCATGTTAGCTTTAATGTTGGCCTTTCTTTACAGAGTTGTCAGTGCCATAGTTGAATTCTGCTTGAACGTGTTGAGTAGCCGCATACGAACAATCGCTTTATGAACTAAACGTAGACGATAAGTAAAGTAAATGACTTTGGTTGATTTTCTGTCACAATACATTCCTTCTTATTGACTTTCGAAATACTACAAATTCGCTCTCCATCTGTCACTTCGAAAAGCTTGTTTTATGTGCGTTTATCCGGGGACCCTGTGGCATCTTCGTCTGGTCTTGCTGGCATTGGTGTCGCACTAAGCGCTAGAGCTGAGGCAGCACTAATCGACTGGATCCCCATTAACAGTCGGTTATGTGCTGTTAGATTAGAAAGTTCCATCAAAGTGAGAAGAAATCGGCGTGAGAAACGATGTCTTTTCGTCATCTCCGCCTATGCCCCGACAGATTGCAGCCCGGATGCAATCAAGGACGGGTTCTACCACCAGTAAACTGTTCTTCTCCAGAAAGTGCGTTCGACAGATATTGTAGTACTAGCCGGAAACTTGAATGCTCATCTGCATCTGGTAATTACCGGAAGCTTTTCCAACTCATCCGAGCCACTGGCAGCAAGAAGTCTGGTGTGAGCGAAACAATCTGAGAGGATGACGGAACGCTAATCACTAACATCCATCGACGTCTTGGACGATGGGCAGAATTCTTTGAAGGGCAGTTCAACTGGCCTGCTGCTCCGGCAACATCGGTCAGACTGTCCTGCCCTCCATGGCCGGTGACTACTGATCCACAAAATGAGGTGGAAGTCCGCAAGGAACTCCAACTCTTGAAACGTTACAAATCACCGGGCCCAGATGACTTACCTCCGACTCTTTTTAAAGATGGTGGTAAATTTCTGGCTAAAGAACTGACGACGTTGTTTACAAAGGTCTGGGAACTAGAGAGTGTACCAACGTCATGGAATGAGTCAATAGTTGTCCCTATCTTTAAAAAGTGTTCACGTCGTTCCTGTAACAACTATCGGGGGATAAGTCTACTTCCGATCGCGTCCAAGCTATTGGCTTCCGTCATACTTCGTAGGTTGTTCCAAACCCGAGAAGGATTGACTCGCGAAGAGCAGGCTGGGTTTCGTTCCGGTCGAGGATGTATTGATCATATCTTCACCCTCCGCCAAGTGTTAGAACACCGCCATACTTATCAAAGGCCAACAATCGTAGTGTTTCTTGATATCAGGGCTGCCTTCGATTCGTTGGACATAACTGTTCTCTGGGATTGTCTATTGAAGAAGGGTGTGTGCCTGAAAAGTTTATTAACATCCTAAAAACCTTATACACAAACACCTCAGGTAGAGTAAGGGCATACAACTACCTCTCTCCATTGCTCCATTCAAGCAGTGGAGTTAGGCAGGGTTGCCCAATCTCACCATTCCTCTTCAACTTTGCCATCGATGACATTCTGGAAACAGCTCTGATGGATGTAAGAAGTGGCGGTGTGGATCTGTTGCCTGGAGAAAGACTTCTCGACCTTGAGTGTGCGGATGATATTGTGTTACTGTGCGAGAATGCCCAAGCTATGCAACCCGCACTTAATCAGTTGGCAATCAGTGTCCGTAGGTATGGTATGTGCTTTGCATCTTCGAAGTGCAAAGTACTTCTACATGACTGGTAGGATTCTAATCTTGTACACACCCTGGATGGTGAGCAGATAGAAGTAGTCCAGAAGTTCGTGTATCTGTGTAGCTGCATAACCTGACCGTTGTTGCTACCTTGACGTGGTGGTCGGGCTTGCCTATCGTGATGAAGCAACTGAGCTATACTGGCTGGAACAACCGTTCCTCAAGGTCCTACCATGCCAGACAGGTCGGTTGAAGAGCGGTAAGACTAAAAGCAACAAAACCAAGGTCCGAAGGCGAAGTCGTACTGCTGACTGTACAGAGGTGTGACAGCAGTAAGGTGTTTCCTTCAGGCAACCAGCATGACAGCGATGCTGCCATCCCACAAGGAGGGGTGGGGTTAGAAAAGGTCGACCCTAAAAATGCACACCTCACCTTATCCCACGGATATCCGTCTCCGGCGGTAAGGACTCAACAAGTACGGAGCTAACACAAAAACTACTCATAAAAAGGTCGTGTGTGACCGACCTCAAGCAGCTGTCCCTTGGGCACTGCAGTCACGCTCTCAGGTCACTATGACCACCTCCAATCCAATTTCCTTTTCAGGTACCTCCAGAAGAACCCTTCCACGGTGTGGGCAACCGGGAAGTGATAACCGCCCTCATACCTCTAACAGCACTCAAGATCACTGTATTCATAATCAACCTACCTCTTCAATTCCTATTATTCCTCTTACATCGACTTTAAAATCTAAACTCCCTCTTTCGGCTTCTTCCTCAAGTGTCACCACAGCCAACGATTCTAGTGCTCAAAACACTGTCCCGGGTCTACTGAAACCTCGCTCCAAACTACCCATTGGAGCCTTCAACATACGCACACTATGCCAAATCGGTCAGCAGGCTTCCTTGGCTAAAACCTTAGAATCTCGTACGATTGATGTATGCTGTCTCCGAAACACGCATACAGGATCCTAGTGTGGTCATTCACTTGACCTCACCTCGGCAAAACGGAGAGCCAACGAGATACACCCTCCGTGTATCTGGTGACACGATGGCTAGTTCTCGTGGACTAGCAGGTGTAGGCATAGC